TGCGTTCTCCAATATGATACCGGGTGACGAACCGGCACAGGCTCTAGCAATTCCTCCAGAGGGATCCGCTTGTTCAACAGGTAAAACCCACTTTCCTCTTTATGTTTTTCCTCGCGTTGGGTATCCGCGTTGTAGCGAATTATCGTGTCCCGATAGTCCTCGAACGTCTAGAAAAGGATGGTTTTTCGATTGATGAAGTAATCAACTGAGATCCAGGCACAGCGCTACCTGTTGGCGAAAAAACTTCTCATCTCAATTTCGTAACCTGCGTAGTCTCTTTATCAGTATCAAGCCACGGAATATGAGCTAACAGAAATAATAATCAACTTCAATAAGGAGTCGCGCTCTTCGTATCTCCAGGCTGGGACTCAGTACCTTTCTTTGTGCATGACTTGGTAAAAATTTCTTCACCAGATGCCACTCATTCGCCAGCGTATGTTTGTATTTCTAGTTGCAAGAACATGCCCTATACATACATTCATAGTACCAAAATTCCCAAGTCGACTCTGATGCCAATTATTTTGTTTGGATCACGAACGCCGTCGAGGGCGGGTCCGTAGAGTCCGTGAGTAGGACCACCCGGATAAAGATACTCGCTTGTCCGACGAAAATGCGACTCCTTAGACCGTAAGGTCTTCGCGGCAAACAAGTTCAGAGGAGGGACTTCACTCCAGTACGCTTCTAGCGGAACAGGATAAGCACTTCTAAATAACTCCGGCCCAAAGTCTAACCAAATAGGTCGCTTTATGTCAAAGTTATCAAATATCTCAACCCAAGCCTGTGAGTTTTTGGCAATGACGCGGTGATGAGGAAAAAGAAACATTTTTTCTGATCTATCTTGATAAGCGTATATTTGATCAACGAACAAAGTGAGAGTCTCAAAAATTATGAAGGTTGTACATTACATGCAGAATCAGTCAAGCTGTCAAAGAAATCACGTCTAGCTATATCGAATCTGGACTGTTACAAAAATACGCAAAAAAGGCATACTTTAACGAATGGTGGTCAACACGAAGCAAAAATAATCAAGACAGCAACAGGCTGAGAGTGGCTATCCTAGAGTACGCTAAACGATCTAATGCCGATGCCTGTGCACACAGTTCACGAGAAAACTCTATACAACCCGCCAAATCAATGCGTAGCGCACTTGATTCGATAATCATAGAACCAGTTCTGTACATAAATACTTTCCAAAAAGAGTCGGCAGAACTTGGATGTTGGATTCAGACGTAAACTCTAATGCCTCGCACTTCGATCTCATGCGGCCAGTACCTACCTAACAAATTCCAGACAGCACCTGTATGCTGGTAGACCACCTCAGAGACACAGGCGCGCTCTACTGAACTATCAAGAGCTTGTTACCGAATGCGCAAAGTGTAGTAGTAGTGTGTTACTTACCAAGAGACTAAGCGAGACTCTACATCATTTCAAATCCTTCGCGTACTACTCAGAGGGAATAGAAGCTAGAATAAAATACTCAAAGAACCGCATCAAGAATCAGAATCAAGCATCACCTTGGAGCAAGATGCTGTGGATCAGACCGCTGCACTTCAGTGTGAGTGCAGCCACGTTCTTGCACAGAGATGCAAAAAAAATTTCCTAAGAGACAGCTGAGATTCAAAAGATTCAGGAGCAGACCTTCTTGGATTCTTCTGTGGATTAACTTATGCAGAGTGAGTCCTTCACTCAGATTCTTTTGAGTGACTTGGTCCATGCCATTTTTCTCTCAGATTTCGTTTGTGTGACTACACCAATAACCTTCCTAAGATCTAGACACCATTCAACCCTGCAGCGGTCTACTGTCGTGCGAGTCAAGCAATATTTATTATAGATGGGTGCGCACTCGTCTCTTTGCACGTAGACCATGACTTTCATTTGTTCAGAGGCAAGCTTTCAGACAAAACAAACCCACAAGCAGAGAGAAAATCTCGCGGCCTGTGTGCTTCGATTCCTTTTGTTTTGCGACCAAATTCATTTTGTAAAGTGATGAAGACGATGCACGACGCGACCTTTTTGAGAGCTGTCCGGTATTTTTTCTTGCAGTTTTAGAAGATAGCGTCTTGCTGACTAACAGCACCAGAGGTCATCACTTCAGAAGCAAGGCTGAGTGCATCAGTCTGCAGACTTTTATCTTCAAAAGGGCCCATTTGTGTTCATGATGCAAAGACTTTTACGATCGCACTGCCATCAGAGAACACGCATGTAAACTCTATCGTAGCCGGCGCGTACAACTCAAATGCTATCCGAATAAGTTAGTGCTTTCATCAGTTGTTTGGGATGAGTGGCGTGCTCAGGCAGTAATGTCAGAAGAACGCGGTAGCGCCTGTCACATCAAAAGTCAGACAGTCAGAGATCTTTCGACATGAATAAGCATGGTGATGGAAGTGGTCAGAGTACACCAAGGCTCCACTGTGCTTTTTATGACGAAGTAGTCTTCTCTTCAAAATCCAATCCACAGCGTTCGCCCTCCCCCCACGCCGTTATTTACCATCTGCAACCCCCACAGCCTCGTCGTCAACCCACGCCGTCAGTCGTCACTGAATCGCCCCAAGATGAAACGGCTTCAAGGCAGAGTTAGAGTTTTTACAGAAGGATAAGTACATAAAAATAGCTGTGCTACGTGTATGCAAGAAGTTCCCCGATTTACTCCCAGTATGCAGGTTGTACATATTTTTTTGAGTAAAACCATTCATAACTCTGCCCAGTGCAGCTCTCTACGCTCGAGTGGCAAATACGGCTCCGCGACCGCACAAACAATAACAAATTCAAGAGGAACTATATCATAATCACATTGAATTATGAAGATAAAAGTTGTACCTGTATGACCATGAATCACGCGGAAACATGTCTTCCTCGTGCGCTTGTACAAGATCACAGAACTCACGCAAAATGACAGCGAGCCTGCGATCGCGCTACCAGTACCTAGTCAGCCAGCCCCAACCGTAACCGCTTGCTCACATATATTTTTTTTCATTTGCAAGTATGTTTTTCCTTGTTTTTTGAATAAGCAGCTTTGAGCATAAAATATGATCCATGGATCTTCTCTGTACTTAGTGTTAGTGATGTGCTACGCCCGCCGAATATTCCTTTTCATTGGCAGCTATTTTTTTACTCCTTATCCATACAAGTCTAATAAATTTATTTATCAACATGTTGTCCAGCAAAGACGGTCTATAACAATTTCTTAACTGATCGCGTTCCCTGCTCCGCCAGTTGCATAGAGAGTACCGAAAAGCGCTTTGCCGAATTCCCGATGTACCATGTGTGCAGCCAAGTAGTTGATGACGCTCTCAATAGCTGGCCTAAGCGTCCCATCCCTACATCCTGCCAGCGCATCGTCCAGCATTCTTTCGCTCTGCCTGCTGTCTATACCTTAGAGCTTCAATGCTTGTTTGTACTTCTGGCTTGTGGTTGTCATCAGACCCTAAACACAGTTCAAACTTCGTGGCTTCGGCTTGTTTGGCGTGTACGCTTATGATGTTGAATAGGATCCCTGCTTTAGCTTTTCTACATATGAGTACATGATCATAATATACAACTTAGACTTACAGTACGAATGTATGTTTTGGGAGGGGACTACTCCATTACGAATCGATTTTCTGATGCCCGCTAGACCTGCATCAATCCTCCTCCTCGCTTCGAAAGTGGCTTAGGATCCCTCTAAACTACATTAAACCTTGCTCAGCTCATGATGATCCACACGGCGCTACCTAAGAATCAATTAAGTACTTACTATCTGAGATGAGATCTATGGTCGTATGCAACAGTTCATATTGTTCATCTTCCTGTGAGTAGTAGTATTAGTCTGAGACAATGAATACATATTAGTCTAATTTACAATGAATACATGTTAGTCTGAGACAGTAACCTTCAACTTCATAGAGTCTAGTATGTATACACTATACAATACCTTCTTCCTGTAGTACCTATTTGCCTTAATCCTGGTCCAATGGTGTCTTGCGTAGATGGGCCTGCACGTGCTCCCGTAAGACCCGGAGCTGGACCACACAGAATGATAGACTGCGGATGCGAACGAGTAGCTCCGTCATTGGAGGGAGCTGTCGCTCTACGCTTCCCGGCAACTGTGCTTGCTCAATCGAAGTTAGATGAAGATGACCCAACATCTTCTAAGATGTGGGTGTGTAAAGCCAATGAAATCTACTACTAGAGGTATTTTTTTCATTACTCTCCTTTGTTTGAGTTTAAAGCCACAGAAATCACGGAAAATTCGAAAGGAATTTCTCCTCTAAGCGTTTCTCATTCTCGATCACGAGCGGTGAAGAAGGAAATCCAAATACGTATTTGTATAAATATCCGTAACAATGGGACAGCTGATTGCGCCTGACCTGCGAGGTCTTGCCTGGTCCGCATTCCGAAGGAAAATCGGTAGCGTGAGGGTGCCCGAGAACTGCTAGAGGAACGGTCTTGATTAGCAAGTCAATCCACTTTTTCATGTCATGCTCATGGGCGTGGCGCCTCTTGTGTAGCAATTTGTGTCCTCTACCTATGAGTCTACCCAGTGAATGTATGCCACAACTAACAAACCGAAATTCTGAGTCTCTTGGTAAACAAACTGAAACTGCTTGAAGGAATTGCTATACTATGAGAGAAGGAATTGCTATGAAGCAAGAACATTAAGTGGTAACTTCTAAGATGATGAACCATGCACAATATATACAAGAACTGGTCTACGTCTACTAGCCGTCCAAAGAGCATAACTTTCGGTTTACTGTTTCGTCGGCCGCGCATATTCGAGAGCCAGGACGTTTTTCCTGCCACTCCACGTGGGTCCGGCGACGTCCGTTGGAGACTGCTACGCTGCGGCGACGCGCCGACGTCCATTGCTTATTAGAGGGCGCCTCTTGAACTGCAAATCGACTTCATGAACTATAGGGCTAGTAGTAGGAGGTTTTGGGGACTATGTTAGCGCACAGGTACTAGAGGGAGGATTCAATAGAGATGGGATTCATCTTCAACAAGTTAGAGATATAGTTCGAGCCTTAAATTTCTTCGGACGTGTCGGAGTCCTGACCGTAGTCGCTGTCTGGAAGCTTTAAGTCCAAAAACACGCAGATTTTAGCGCTAGAAGTCCAAGCCTTTCCTCTATCTTCAAAAAGCTTCTAAGCACCTCTTGTTCCAGTACTACGACACCTGATAAAAGTTTCTGAGCAGTATAATTACGATCTTTGAGCACTACTGCCACTCCTGCGACACCTAAGGAATGAGAGAAATACCAAAAGGGTGGCTGATGTATCTAACTATGTATAATAGTATGAGGTGGGACTAGTAGGGCGAAGTTTCTAACCACTAGGTATGGGTTAAATTATACTTATATCTCCATCTACTTGTCCCGTGCTCGTTCTCGGACATGTTGATGGACAAGACGAGCTTGTAAAACGAGACAAGAAAACGACCATCATGATGAGATAGACCGAAAGAGACCAAAGTTAAGTGATTCTTTTTACACTCAGAACAAGCTGCACTGCGTTGCGATTGTTTCCGTTCTTAAGTTTGGCTTTCTGCGCTAGAGGAAACACATCTGGAGTGAGTCGCTCGGGTTGCGACGCCTGCTCCGCAAATTGACACAAGGTTCTCTGCACAAAATTGCAAAAGACTCCGATGCACAGGTGAAGCGGGATTTGGAAACTCGATATTAGAGAATGTAATTCGTGGTATGGCTAGGGTGAATATCAAGTATTTGTATGCATCGGTCATTGTGAGGAGCCAGAAGTACGTCACACAGCTTCGATCTATGTGCTTACACTGACTACCACTTAAAGACCATGAGTACCACATTTGCTCACCTAAGCTAGCCCTGCTACTACTAAAAACAAGAAAGAGAAACTGTGACTGACTCTGCTAGATAATAGATACTCCGCTACGCTGAAACTCTGTTGGGCCATAACAAGACTGCATCGAAAGCAGAAAATATGAAATTCCACATATCCAGAACTGCTGTGCTGTGCAACATCGCGGGTGGTCGCATCGGTCGCCATCCACCAATTATCTTTTAGAAGATATTCATTCATTCACTCATTCATTCATTCGAACCACGTAGCAACTATAAATAGCTGCCTGGTTCCGTTGTACCAGAATACATTTACATAGCAAGTAGACTTGTTCATAGGATAGGATAGGATAGGATGCCTTTCCGCCTCTTGCACGCGAGGTGTAAAGAGACAGGCGGGCAGAGCGCCCCAAGGAGGACATGTATATGACTTGTTCATGTATATTTTTTTCTTGATCTCGAATTGATCACTGAGTCAGTTCTCCATATGTTTTACATCTAGACAGATCCACTTCTCGCCTCACCCCCTCCACGGTACAACTTTGTTTTGTCGTAAGTCGTTTTAGTAAGGCGCATCCGGATTTATGTTTACGTAGTCATGCTTTGATCAACATACGTTGTAGTGGCACATCGTCGCGATATTTCAGTCATTGACCAAGCTATGTATGTTGTATTCCTGTCATAAGTTGTATTCAGGCACATCCCGATGATGCTTTCCTTGAACTTCTGAAATCTGGAGACGATTGCCACATTGACCAAAGGCTCTAGGATGCGGCTCAGAGCATGTGGCTCTAGTGAATGCCGATACACCTCATCGTCCGCAGACGTCGGAGATTAGAGCGCAGTCCTCGGAAGTCACAACGAGGGCAATCAACCTAAGCCTGTATTGACTTTTGGCATTGTTCTTTCTTATCCATCAAGAACAAACGGCGGGATTGTGGTTGTGCATCTTCTACTTAATTCATCTTCTTAAAAGTAAGGAATTACGCTCTGTTCAAGTTGATGCACTGCCCAAATGACCTTGCCTCCAGAGGGTGGCAGCTCCTCTTCAGATGCCATATTCCACGGTCTTCGACGGGGGCCACCATGTTGTGGCTGGAAATTGCTAACACCAGTTACCTAGAAAAAGGAATGCCCATGGAGGTCGTGGGGGTGCCTTTTTTAGGGGAAGAAGTCGAAATTTAACATAGATAGACGAATTTTCAATTCCACCATAGTCCAGGACAAAAAAACACGCATACTTTTACACGACACTCTACAAGCTACGGGTAAAGTTGATTCAGAAGGAACAACTGGCTCTATCAATGAAAGTATACCTTTTTCTCCCCTGCGACCCAGAAGAGTGCATCCCGCACGTGCTGCCGCAGAGCGTCTACGACCAGATGCACCGAATACTTCTGGTACTTGCTTGCTGACATTAGAGTTTTACTCCTACACACAGCTACAAGAGAAGGATCCCTAAGATTAGATAGTATGACCATGCTCGAGTGTACTGAAGAAAAATGATAGTGACACCTCATTTCTTCATTAAGAGTACCCAGCTTTTTAACACAAGAAGTAAGTGGTGGTTTATTATAAGTCTCCAACCTACGGCACACATCACAACTACAGGTATGATGAAACAAGTTCGAAAAGACTTTCCATTTTTCGAAAAACGTCTTCATAAAAGTTGTTTTTTGGCATTCGGATCGCTTGGCGCGAAAACCGTATCCCAGGCCATGCTGTAGTATTTCTCGTCGCAAAAGATTTCTTCCCTAAATTAAAGGTAGTCAAAGGCAATCACTATCGCTGGCTTGATGTGAAGGAAAGACTCCACCCAATCTCTGTGATGACTAATGAAGTTGAAGTCGAAGCACGAAATAGTACAAACACTGAGAGGACTGTACCAATGAAGGCGACTCGAGACCACTCCTACTCGACAGCAGGCTCAGGGGATAGTTTTCTTGACTGACTAAGGAAAGTGCTGAGTCTGATGATACTTACCCCGCTCGTTGATTACCCCCAGATGAATGCTGGGTACACTACACTACTAGTACGACTCCTGCTACTCCTAGCTCTAGCACTACATACTCGTACTGCTCCTACTACTATCTAAGTCTAAGCCGTAATTAAGACTTTTAATCGCGTCTGCAAATTCCTCCATGAACTTTTGGACTGAGAGCATCTCCTCGAAGAGATTGGAATCTCTCGAAGACTTCGACTGCCAACTTCGCAAAGGCCCTGAATTAGAACGTCCTAGAGATAACTCTATGCCCATGCGCTAGAGGTGAGAAGTCTGCAATTTATTATATATAGCAAAATTACCTCTTTCTGGCCCTTTCTCTGGGGAACAATCAACAAGTTTCTTCTTTCTTGGCACAAGAAGAAGAACCTGTGCACTCGAAAAAAATAGGAAAAAATCTACAACTACCTTCTTTCTCAGAGCAAAATGATGAGCAAAATGATCCTGAAGATCACGATCATGATGATGCACCAAACTCGTAGGGATAGGCGACACCTATAAATTTCAATAGTGTCTTTTTTGGGACAACGGCAAACACTCTTTCATTTTTAAGTAAATTGAAAACTTAGGGAAGGTCTACCTATATATTCTTGAAAATTTAAGTATCCACCTATTTATTGAGAACAAAGTTAGTATCCTCGTTTGTTATACTCCTCGTAACTAGAAGTCTTTCGCACTGTGCGGAACCTGCGGAAAAGACCAGATACGAATAAAAATTCCAGAGTTTGGAGGGTTTCGCTTCGCGTCCCAAGACTGTCGTGCCAAGTGCGTCCCTTCCAGATTTTAGAGATGATAGCAAAAATCCTATTCATCTGGACACAAGCCGGCTCTTGCTGCTTGTTCTCACCTGCTCATTCAAAAGATGTCAGTGTCACACTCACATTCAAAAGATGTTTCTACAACGAACTTGAGTCTTTACATCCTTTCCGAGTTTCTTTTTCCTTAGTTAGGGCTCTACAACAAATATAGTGAGTCGTGCCTTAAAGGAGGACCGTTGCCTCCAGCAGGGTTGACGGAAGCGTGTGGCAGTGGTTCTGCCGGTGAAAGATTCATATGCGTTGCAGAAACGTTGCTATGTCCAAATATTAGAGCTGACCATCTCCCGGCAAATTAAAAAATATGTTGGAACAAATGCCCACTTAAATACTTATGTTGGAACCTACTTTGAAAACAGGAGAGAATTCTTTCCCTGAGGAGAAGAACTAAAGAAAATTGATAGATGAACGGATGATAGTAGTATCCTTCAACATCTGAGCTCCTGCCGTAAGAAGATCCTCATAATACGTTAGACCTAGTATTTGCTATTATGGCCTTAAGAATACCGTCAAGAAAAGCTGGACCAAGATGGGCATGCCCTCAGGATCCACGCTCCGCCTGTAGTCTTTCAACAGCAAAACAAGCATGTCGCGCAAGTCCGCTGTCACGAGCTTTCGATAGGCTGACTCATAAAAAACTTCGCCAGCAGTCCTTGCTGTACCTTTAGAGGTGAGGTCTCGTGAAACACCTACGACTTTGCTGAGGTCATTTGCTCCCCATCTCAGCGTCTCCTGCTCACCACGCTCAACAGGAGCCATGTTGGTGCTGACGCAGCTCTTAGAGGTAAGAAGATTGTAATCACCAATAATGCTAATGAGCACTAAAATTGGTCGAATTTCTAATTCTACCCAAGCTGAAACTTTTCACACGGAGAAAATCTGTACAAGTACTTGACCGCCTAGTTCTACCTCACCATGCTCCCAAAACTAACGGAAAGTAGAGCTGTAGTGAGACCTTCCCCTAACAGTAGAGTTGTGAGACCTTCTCCCTAACAGGAGAGTTGTGAGACCTTCTCCCTAACTACACTTCCAATGGAAGGATTCGGTAGACGCACACCTTCCGCCTCGTTCATCTCGTGAGGTGCCTGGTCGTGAAGTGCCTGCGAGGAGGTGACCATGCCAAGAAAAGCGGACTTTGCACCGCTTGCCAACCTCGTAACATTCGAAGGCAGTCGGTAGTCAGTGTTGCTTCCTCATGACTTAGAGATGAGTGTAGAGTTTGGTAGAGTTTGTTAGAAAAGAGATACTGATCAGAGTTTGTTGTCAGCAAGAAAAGCTAAGCTACGACGTGCACTCCGATAGGGTGCATTTCCATCCCAAACCCAATGCGTCCCTAATATGCACATTTCTTTTGTGGAACCCACACGCAGGACGAGTCGATGTGTCATACATTCACTCACCCACTTCCAGAAAAAGTCTTAATAACCCACTTCTTCTAGAATAAGATGTCTTCCAGCCTTAACAGAGAAATTGTGAATGTCACTACCTAATCCTCCTTCTGAGCCAGAGCCTGCTTCTAGGGACCCAGACCGCGAACCATCGAGATACTCGCTCTCAAAATGGTAGTAGGCGTCCGCTATCCTCCGCAGCTCTGTAGAATCCAGTAGCCCACCACTGTGATCCACTACCTTAGAAGAAAAAGTGCACAAGAAAATAAAGTGCACAAGAGAATAAAGTGCACAAGAGAACTTAGTGCACAAGAGAATAAAGTGCAGCAGGGAAAGCTTTTCATTATATCATGATCATTTGTGTTCTCTGAGAGTCTGTCTCATATTTAGATTTACAAATAGAATCCCGACTAATCATGTCGACAAAAACAGGCAGATAGAAACATTGTGCATCAACTTATCCATAGTGGCGCCATGGATGCAAGAAAACTGTCTGTAACGTGAGAAAAAACTTCTCAACGTCGAACTTTTAATAAATCGCGAAGCGAGTATCAATAGGCTCCAGTTCTAGTAATTTCTTCTTTTCACCACCGCCAGAACTCTCCACCTCTCTCTCCACGACCTTGTTGCTTTGAACTTTGAATAAATATCTTTCAACATAATGGCTTCGTCATCATCGGGATTCCTGCGGTAGTAGCCACTTTCACTAAGAAGGTCTTCGCGCGGGGCCTCGGATGATCGTGTGGAGTTGGTCAAATCGTCGTCTAGCGATCCTGCCTTACTCGCATCAAAGACGCAATTGTATTTGTCAGCATTGTATTTGAGTCCGAGAAAGAGTCGTCGAAAGCTGGCTGTCAGAGCGAGTAGGGCGTGCGTGCCTGCTGTAACGTTCGGCAACTTACAGCGGTTGGACTGCCACATTGATGGCGTCGCGGCTAGCGACTCCCCTACTCCCACTCTGGTGACCCCTGATGCGCTGTCCAATCCACTTTGCGCAAACGCGATATCCGTCAAATTTAGCGGTGGATGACACATATCCTGATGAAATCAAGAGTTATGAAAAACCAATATGAGTAGCAATAAATTGTGGTGGAGCCGACCTCCTAACTAGAAGCCATGAAGATGACGGGATTAGATTGTAGGTCGTTTACCGCAGTCAAAGTCATGAAAATGCGGAAAGGAGAAGCATGAGCTAAGAGGATTAGGAGTATCTTGAACTGAAAGGTAAAGTAATAGGAACGATGGGAACGAAGGATGGCTTACCCTAGATAGTATATAACTAAGATAGTAGTCTAGTGCTCTCAATGATATCGGAACGGCGTTGTTGACCTTGCTTATGGGTGCTAGCTCACCAAGGTCAACATCCGACATCATTCGACAGGAGCTTAAGCTCTTATATCTATATACTCCCTTTGCACTTTCCACTTCCGGACAGGTCCATTGATCCGCTTCGGTGCAGTTGTGTAGAAGCTATAAAGATGACGGGATTAGATTGTAGGTCGTTGACATTCTATGTGGCCTTAACAGTTGTACGATCGTCTGCGCAAGGTTTGGAGCATCAAATATATCTGCGTCGCCGAAAAGGGTCCACAAAACTGGTAGCATTGTCGTGAGAAAAACTCTACGTGCGTCGAGGTGCACCAAGAGCAAAGTAGCTATTTCCCTCAGGAGTAGAAACAAGTGCACTAGAGGCACCCTCTCCAGCTGCGCCTGCAAAGCCCGCGACGCGTCAATCACCTCACGCTTCGTCACACTACTGATGTTCATGCTTGAAGGCGTGGTCTCTCCTGCAAGCTTTTTCGGTATGCCTGATGAAAGGGTCCTCGTCTCCTGAACTTCTTGTTGAAGTTGATGTGACATCCTCATCTCCTGAGCAGGTGCAAGAACTTCTTCTAGTGGATGATAAAACTGATAACTCGCGTAGTACCAATCGTGTAAGGCTAATTTGACGTGCCGTTCCGCATCACGTCCGAGAGCTGGTTTTCTCGTCTCGCTTGGAATAATATCTTCCTCGTGCCCACTCGAGGAAATACGTCTCCGCACTTCTTTGCAAATTGCGAGAGCTAGACTGCACTCTGCTGTGTCTACCGACGAAAGAAAGCCCTTCACCTGGCTTTCAAAGAACTTAGAGCTGCGTGCTGCTCTATAGAAACAAGAAGATCGTGGATTACATTCCTGTAAAAACACAGCAAGTAAGAGAACGGGAAGTTATTCCCGTAAAAACACAACAAGGAGGATAACAGGGTGATATAATCGACAGTACCTCCTCTGGGATATTAATGTAGTTCAGCTGGGATATAGCTTTAGCTATGCCTCATACTCATTGCAAGGATCCTGACAGGAATGCATCTGTGGTCTCTATCGTAGCCTTAACATGCAAAGCCTTGCTCGATGAGTTCTTCGCAAATGTACTGTTCTTCGCGCTATCCCTGCCACTGCTTGACGAAGAGCACGATTGCGTGTCCCCTTTGAGTCTACGGCTCTGCTTGTCCATGTAGAGTTAGAGCTCAACATCATCTGCCATAGGATAGTACATCCTGGAGGACCATTTTTCCCCTTGCAAAGCCTCTCGACTTCATCACCATCACTGATGATGGAAATTGATCATTACCACGGGACGCCTTAATAGAGACATTCTTCGATCGTGGTTTCGGCTAAAAAAATACACCTCTTGACCCAGGCTTTCAAGCGACGCGCGTTTCGTGCATGCATGGTAGGGTTACTTTTATTAATGCTTGCAGCTAGTAGTAGTACTACCTAGTACGTAGTACCCCTTTAGTGTTGTAGGGACCTATCTAAGAAAGAAGGACACCTGAAAAAAAGGAAGACATGAAGGTGAAAACCCCTTTATTTAGTCTTCGTGGTCCATCTCTGATGTGACTTATCATTTCATTATCCTTGCATCTCTAGTGGTTGTTCTCTTGTCCTCTAAGAAGTATGCAGTATGAGGCTCCTGGAGAGGAAACCTCCTACTTCTACGTGAGGAAACTACCCCATACAACTGCATAGGCTACTCCTAAGTAAGGAATTCTACACATCCTCAAGTTTCCCATTTTAGTGATGGACCACTAGTTACTCACTCTTAGTGGGATAATTCAATCTAACGGGATTCTTAGAATGAAGTGTTTGTGTTTATCTACAGCCTTAAACTTAATATTACTTTCCTTTATACTACTTAGTTACAACGTTAAAAATACTCTATAGGTTACCTACAACAAGAGTCTTAGTCGTGGTTACCTAGTACAACAGCCTTAATACTACTTTCTCCGCTGGCGGCTCCTCCTGACGCACCATCTACCTCATCTCCGTCACTGCCTTCGACGTCCATTGCCACTTCTTGCGTCGTTGCGGAGAGTGGTTGAGCAGTGAGTTTCTTCTCGATGTCCTGCCACATTTCGCATAATCGAGACAACATGTGCAGCAAAAACGCAGACACGGGGTCGTCAGGTTGATCGTCTTGCCAAGTTGGTGTGGTTCTTCGCGTCATACGATTGAGTCGCACTCGAGGAACATCGTCGCCTAGAGTCCATGTCGCTAGCGCGCCGTACTCAGCAGACGTAAGTTTGTTCATCAAACGCAACATTTTAGAGGAGCTCACGATATTGATAGATAAGGATCACACGTGTTGTCTGTTCAAGGTTTATTTCATTCTGAGAGTCCGTAGATCTTCTCTACCGGAGACATTCGATTATCTATGTATTAGCGTCAGCTTCAACCCATCTCGGCCCCCTCAGCTCGACCCCTTTCCCATGAAATACAAGGGAAAAGGGCACCAAGATGCCGAGAAAGATCGATAAAAGCTGACCCTAAATCTAGGATAAGCTCAGTGGAACTGAACTCTATGGAGCAGAGCTCTGCAGAGCTCAGAAAAGCAAACGTCAACAATATAAGTACTGTTACTCTGTCAGTAGAGAGGAATTTTTGAGTGATTCTGATCCCCCGTAAACTTTAGTAGAAGCGACTCCACATCAACTCCAGCGTGCGTCGCCTCTTGTGCTTTTTCGTAGAAGAAAAGGAGGAACTCATAGGTCAGCAAACTGAAGTCGACTTGCGTCGAGGGTCGCTGCATCGCTTGAGCCTCAAATGCGACTGGATCTGCCACAAGCTCTGACTGATTCGAAGAGAGGCCTGGGGACGACGCCTGTTGTCCGTCCCTGCGAGCAGGAGGCGAAAACAGCTTGCCAGGACTGGACAAGGGTGCTGCAGCCGGATGCTGCAACAGATTGCTGCTTAGAAGTCAAATAATGCCGTATCCACTCTTGTTGCTTCGTTTTCTTGGGAAAACCTCCTCCTCGTCTCAGTTCCAGCATCAGTGAAGACAATGCACGAAACATCTTCGTCACAGAAGATAGTACTAACCTCCTCTCTTATTCATAGTAGATGTAGACTTTTGTTGAATATAGACTCTTACAACAGACGCTCGAAACCTTGTTGACCCTTAAATTTTTATTGCCCCCATCACCTTCACGACCACTAGCAGCAACATTCGTTATTATCTTCCTCCTCTTGAAGTGATTCTGGCCAAAAACGAAGTGAGAAAGGGGCAGCAGATCCTCTTCGACGTGGACGCCACGCCAGACACCATGCGTTCTCCACTTTTCGCAATTGGCGAATGCGTCCTCCAATGCATCTGGCCCCACAGCACTCACTTCTCCCGTTTGCATGTTCCATCCCGCGTAGTGTTGAAATTAGAGGCAGTCTCCAACTTCTTCTTGTACGAAGATGCATGTATTAAGTTATAATATTTGGACGAATATTAGGATCTTCATGTTTTTGAGAGGGATTACTCTATTGCCCCATCTAAGATTGTACGACGTAAGTGCGACCTCGAAGGACCATACAAAGTTGGTGGCCTAGAACCATTTAGCTTCTTCGACTGAATATGATGCTCTTCTTTCGTTTACCTATCATTTGAAATTTTTCACTCAGGACTACCTTTCGACTTTCATTCGAATTGAAGTAACTTGTTGTTCTTCGTTTGCTACCCTTTTTGTTTCCAAGAAGAAACAGAAACTAGCGAGAGGATGGCGTACCTACTCAAGAAATAGAAGTATCCATATCAATGGTGGGTTCATTTTGGTAGCCTTAATGAAAAACGTCAATTTGAGCTGTCTCGTTGTCGTCTAACTGCACGAGGACGTCGCGGAAGCTTGTAGAAAGCAGGGAAGGCTGTTCATACCCAAAGCGCATCTGTTGTCTCTCGTCCCCAATTGCTGGACAGATCTCTCCGCCTGGGCCTCCAGCGATCGAAGACGGTACTCCTGCCTGCTCTTCTTAGCAAGACGACACGAATCGTTTTTTCACTAGGGATTCAGCCGTTGCAGTGTCCGGAAGTGGGAAAAATCGCAATCGGATTTTACTAGACTAATTTATACTTACATAGAGTCAATCATGAGAATGAGTCGAATCATCAACCGCCTTAATCTTCTGCTGACGATGAAGTTGGCGTGCTGCTGTTCCGATCCTCGTAAGTAACATGCATCTTCTTTGCGCTCCCAATCTTAGAATTCATTCCCATGCTCATTCCCGGTAGATACGATCTTCCTATGCTTTTCTTAGTGTGGCACTCTCCTTCGAGCTTAATTTCAATATTCTTGTTCTTTTCGCCTACATAAAAACCTTGTCCTTCTTGGTCCATTCTTGGCTTGAAATAATATTCATTGAGCTCAGGCCCGACCAGAAATATTTAGCTTCACAGTCCTCGACTCCTGAGTAGATAGCTTTTGTTCACTATGAATCTTCTTCTTCTTGTAGGACAATTGTTCGCTAGATATGTCATAACTTGTAGACCCACTTCTACCTCCATCAATCTAGTTTGCAAGATCAGCATCGTTAGAGGTCGCATTTTCGTCAAACTCCCCACAATTTCAGCAGCCTCAAGTTCTTCTGTTCGTCGTCCCGCAATCTCCACGATCTCGTCACCCGGTTGGATGCAGGTTTTAGAAAGCCGAAAGGAAGAGATCCACATAACGTTTTTTGATGTCTCAGTAGTGAGGATACTGTGAAGATAACACAATAAAGATAAACACCATCATTTTACATCAAGTAACCCTCTCACCCGTAACACTCAACGCTGCCCAGCCACTGGTTTCTACGGATGTGACCTGTGTGCCGATGAATCCCAGTCCCAGAGGCCCACTCACACAAGTTACCTCCATGGTCGGTACCCGACCACGACTACTCCGACTTGAATCTGGATTAGAAAAATGGTGTCAAGATGATATACAAGCTGTACTATCTGATCAGTGTTCTTGTTTGTTGTACAGCTGCGTCTCTACTGGGTATTTCACTATGAATGGACGAATTACCAGACTAGTACGGTAGTTCCGTATCTACTACAACTCTCACTATGAATGAAATTACTGAAGTGAGTTTTGCAATTTCTTTCACTCTTCTTAACTGTTGGAGGGGGTGACGGTTCGACCTTAGCTCCAGTTCCCGCTCCTCCATCAAGCTGCATAGTCCCGTATTTAGAAGATGGACGAGAAGGATTGCTATCAAGGTCTCAGTATCTAGAAGATGGAGAGAATCGTAAGGTCTCAGTCTGGGATATGGGAGTGAGGCCTTCACTTGTTCAGCTTCAGTTCCTCAAGCGACGCATCAATAATGCAGTTGTACCAACATCAACATTAGAAGTTCGTTGAAGTGAATTCGTATTCCTTCACCCATTGTCGATTCATCCAAACACTCATGTCCACCACAGACCACACGCAAACGATAGATGAAATTAGAAAGGTAGGATTTGCCTTAATGTTCAATCTAGATGGTGTCGCGCCCGTTTCGCCGAAGCCGCCTCCTTGTTTAGCGGTAGAAGATTTTCATCCTCTTAAGTTGAGTCATTCTTCTACTGAGTATTCTCGATCCATTCTCCAGGACTACTTCGTTGAGCTT